AATATGACATCCTTTTAGAGCGCTGGCGTCAGTTTGGGTCAGGACAAGAGACATCAACTCGTGGGAGAGATGATGTCACCCGAGGCACTTTCCCATGGTTGAGGACAGCCAGGTCGTGGGAAAAGCGATGACGTAAGGCACTTTCCCATGGCTGAAGGTTCTTCGTGATGAGAACGAGTATGCTTCACCATCAGTTCATTTCACAACTTGTGAACGAGTGCAGCCATGGCTTTGAATGCTTTGAGAAGGCGCAATCGCCAGCAAGAACTGCTCGACTTCTCATTGAGAGACGTGTACGAGAAGATGCGGATGGATCACCTGGAGCTACAGGAGTGGTTGCGATCTATGGGGCTGATGGCGTTGCCATCATGCCCCCTTTGCCAAGGATCCATGGTTCCGAAGAACAATGAGCGCTACAACGGTTGGGTGTGCAATCGTCGATCTTGCCGCACTGGACCCACAAACGAAACGAAGGTGTACGTGCCCGCTCGGAAAGGCTCCTTCTTCGAGAAGTGTAACCTCGCTGAGTCGGCCGTGTTCGCGCTGCCCTATTTCTGGCTGCGCGACATGGGCAAGGTGAAGGACAAGGAATACGAGCTCAACATCGGCCACACCAGTTCAATTCAGTGGGAGCGGTTCTTCCGCGACGTATGTGTGGGGCACTTCAGGAGGAACCCACCGATCATCGGAAGGGTTTGGATGCGAGATGGAAATTGACGAAACACTGGTTATCAAACGCAAGTACAACCGTGGACGCTGGGTACGCAGACACAAGTGGCTGTTTGGAGGCATTGAAAGAGGAAGCGGGCGAGCCTTCCTGAGGCTGGTTCGAAGAAGGGACGCCCCGACTCTGCTTCGCCTGATCAGGAAGTACATCAGACCCGGCACTACGATCGTTAGCGACTGCTGGAGAGCGTACAACCAAATCGCCGCTCTGCCAAACGCTTACAGGCACCTTCAAGTTAACCACCAGTTGAATTTCGTGAATCCACAAACTGGTGCCCATACTCAAAATATAGAGTCGCTCTGGCAAAAGTACAAAGAAAGGTGCAAGCGGCGCTTTGGAATAAACAATGCACGCTACGAGGACTATTTGTGCGAATTCCTGTGGAAGAAGGAATATGGAGATCGACGAGAGGTCGTATTTAACTTCTGGGACCAAGTCGCGGGGCTCTATCCCTGCTAAACGAATCCAGCATCTCACGTACACTAACCCAACGGCCCTCTTTAGGGCCACATATCAAGTCACCGGCTCATTTCTAGTGCTAAGCGCTAAGGGGCAGGGGGGACTCCAGGGTGCGTGAGCAGTTTTCCTTTCCCCTAAATTCGCCCCTTCTTCGAGGCTTAGTCTCAGGAACCGACACCATCATGCTGCCGCGTGATGGGCAACAACGCTCCTCTCCCCCACCGCCCCGCGCCACACTGCGCTAACTTAATAAAGGTTTAATTCGTTGTCTGTGTTTGACCCACCTCTATCAGTAACATTGCAGCGAATTTCTAAAACAGTCAACTGGCGCCAAATGGCGCCAGCGTTCGAGTGGATGCCATATTCGTAATCAGGACCTTTGAAAACATATACAGGGGGGGCCAAAAAAAAGACATTTTGCCTATGTCGGACTTCGGCTCTTTTTTCTTCGCAGAGATTGCTGTCGTTGACGGGAGTTCCTCAGCAGAGTATTCCCTAAGTGTTCCTCTATTAGTGTACGCAGGCTCTCCTTCACTGCCCTCACCGTCTTCAGAATATGACGTCATCTGTCACCGTCGTCAGGCTCAAGGAGGTCTACCGTAAGAGCTTCAGCCTGAAGCTCTTACGCAATTTCGTGAATCGATTTAATGTTGGATAGTTTTCTAGAGGCATTAGCTACCACTGTGCAAATCCCCTCGGAACTAGCTTTCCAGTAAGGGTCGTTATGGTACACGATCCTTCGAAGACCCCATTGAGCTCGACCAGTGCACCATGTTTCCAGGGCAAATTCTTCTGATGCCGTCCACGTGGGTGGCCAACATGAAGATTTTCTTATAGAATGAAATGTGCTCTTCAATATAAGTTGGGACCATTCGGTCTCAATTGAGCAAAGTGTGCTTAAATCCATCTGGAAAGTGGAGACAAAATGTCTTTTTTTATTGGCCCCCCCCCCTATACAAGTTTACAGCGAATTTGGTACACCCTTGGCGCCAAATTGGCGCCAAATGGCGCCAAATGGCGCCAGCGCTAAAAACGAATGTCATATTCGTAATCAGGACCCTCAAATAACCCCTATGTGCAAGTTTACAGCGAATTTGGTGAAAACACCCTTGGCGCCAAATTGGCGCCAATGGCGCCAAATGGCGCCAGCGCCAAAAAAACCTTATTTTCGTGATCAGGACCTCAAATAACCCCTATGTGCAAGTTTACAGCGAATTTGGTGAAAACACCCTTGGCGCCAAATTGGCGCCAATTGGCGCCAAATGGCGCCAGCGCCAAAAATGAACTTTATTTTCGTGATCAGGACCTCAAATAACCCCTATGTGCAAGTTTACAGCGAATTTGGTGAAAACACCCTTGGCGCCAAATTGGCGCCAATTGGCGCCAAATGGCGCCAGCGCCAAAAATGAACCTTATTTTCGTGATCAGGACCTCAAATAACCCCTATGTGCAAGTTTACAGCGAATTTGGTGAAAACACCCTTGGCGCCAAATTGGCGCCAATTGGCGCCAAATGGCGCCAGCGCCAAAATGAACCTCATTTTCGTGATCAGGCACCGAATTACCCCTATAGGCGAAGTTTCGACGAAAAATAAAATTTTGAGTTTTTGGGGTCGAATAGTTGAATAGTGCCAATTGAATTAATTTGCTCTGTTATAGGGGTCGTGCCAGGATCTCATTTCGGGGGGGGGGGTCGTACTTCTGCGACCACGTACTCGACACGATTTTCACCCTGGTACCCACCTAAATTTGCTGCTTTCCCTTGCCCTTGCGACCCCCTTCTCCCAGAACTGAGCAGACTGAGAGTCAAAGAAATCGCTGACCGCTCTTTCAACGTCTTCAACTTTGGTGAATTTTTTCTTCGCTAGGAATGCCTAAGGGGATGAAGTAAGTGATAATCAGAGAGGGCAATGTCAGGGGAATAGGATGGGTGGGGAACACGTCTCAGATCAGCTCTTTCCACTGTTGCACGGGTCCTTTAACTTATGTGGGGCCTGGCGAGTAGAGTGGACAGAAGTTCGTCTCGGTCGTTTTTCTTGAACAGCGTCCGCTAGTTTCTAGAGCTGACTGGCGTAAATGCTGCCGGTAGCGGTATGTCTTTGCGGGAGCATCATAATACAGCATTCCTCACGAATCCCAGAGGTAGCAAAGGAAGACAGCTTTTGGGGTGAAGGTCCGATTTTGCTTGTGTCGGCAGGTCTTCTCCTCGAGGGAGCCACACGGCACTGTGCTTGTTAGAATCGTAGAGGACCCAACTCTCATCTCTCGTAATCATGCCTTCCAAAAACTCCTTTCGGTGCGGACAAAGAAGGAGAAACTGACAAAACTGACAACAAGAGGGTACCGCCTGAACCGCGTGCTATCGGTCAAGACATGAGGATCCATCGAGTCGGCACTTTCCTGTGGCGAGGGCGTGGAGGGGACCGAGGACTGTGGGATGGGTGCACCCGAGTCTTATCACAAGGCTGCGGGTGCTAACCTCCGGATCCTCTTCGACAGCGCCGAGAACGGTGGAGTCTTCCACTGTTTGGGGCTTCCCAACCTTGTCTTGTCTTTCGAAAGCCGTGTCTCCTCCTTCGAAGCCTGCGAACCAGAGCTTGGCACTGATGATGGAAGTGGTGTCCCTTCCCAATGCGATGCTGATAATGTTGACGGTTTCCACTGCTCCTGTGCCGCAGCGCCATTCATTAAAGGAATCTTGCGCGGAAAATTCTTGCACTCTTTCCTAACATGAATATGTCAGTTGTGATCACTGGAAATAGCACACAAAGTTTCACGCATGAAGATTCGGTTTCTGAAGAGAAACAAACGTACAAAAACACGTTATGGACCATCGAAGGACCAGGAGGCAGAGCCAGGCGAGGCATGGAAAGAAGACGGCGTTTGGCCGGCTACGTACCAGGCGACGCAATGAGAGAATCGGGTTAAAGCGCGCGATTTCGGAGAGTGGAGACAAATCGATCGATGGAATAGGATGGAGTAGAAGTGTAAGATGTGAATGCAACGAAGCAGGCCAGAAAGAGCTTCTAGTGAATGCACTCCAAGAACCAAGTTTGAGCATCCCCGTCGCCAGCATTCGTGAAAGACGTCCGTGGGCAATTCGAACGCGTAGCAGCCTTTTCGAGTTTTCGAATTTCTAATCAAAACGAAAGCAATACTTCAGTTCTTTTCACTATTATCGTGGATAATGAGTCTCAAGCCAGTGATTTATGGCTGAAATAGAATCATGATTTTTCCGCGCAAGATTCCTTGAAGATGATCGCTCGAAAGTGTTCTTGTGGAATCACCATCATTATTAAAGTTAAAGAAGGCAACCCGGCAATATATACCTACTGCGGAGAAGTATGATCGACAGCGATAGTCTATCACGTAGCAGATTCTAGGTATCGATCAATAAGCGAAAGTTCTGGAGCTTTCAAAAAATCGGCTCAGGACTTTCTTACCATCCCAAGTACATCTATTTAATGCGTAAAACTCCACGCCGCCTCGATTGCCGTCCTCCGATCGAGACAGAGCTCGTGGCATAACTCCCCACTGCCCAGCACCTATTTCTGTCGATGACGTCCATCGATGGTGGGCCTAGTGATATGTAAGAAGACATAAACGGCTTACAGAAGGGGGGGGGGGTCGCACTTGTGTTTCATGAATGGTTGGAGGTGTATAAATTGTAAAATCACCACAACAAACAGTTGTCCTTGCCTGGCGTCTTTACTTTAAACCGACTATCTGATGAAACTCAGTCCTCAGACAAACCTTATCATTTGCCAATCCCCGGAACTCAAATGGCAGATTTATTAATCCAATGAAACAAATGTCTAGTAAGAAATGTCATCGTATTTTCCAGAGTTCTTATTGTAGCGCAGTGCTTTTTTAACGGGGAACAGCTCGCTTGTTGGCATGTCATCCGTCTCAACGTCACTGGAGGCAGCATTCTGCAATGAAAAACAGCTTACTGTGAAAAACTGCTGAATGACGTTTTAAGTTTGGAAATTCCTGTCCAAGGCTCAGCTGTACCCACCTTGGTTTTTGCTCGCTTATCGCTCAAACTTCTGAGCACTTCCGCAGAAACGTTAATCTCATCCCTATCGGGATCGGTCTGCAATGAAAAGTCGGGCGTATGGTATTGGTACATGCCGAGCAAAAAATTACTGCTTTAAAACGCGGAAAAAACCCGCCTTTTAAAGCTACGGAACTACCACCCAACTCGCATATTAGCAACCACCGAAATTCGCATGCTGGTATACTGCTGGCAAATTGTGGCAGCACGCTAAGGTATGTGGAATCGTAAATCAAATAATGCTGCGTCTATACTCGGCGAACTTCGAGCCTGTCGTAATCAGGTCTTCCTGTGCACAGTGAAGGTCTCTGTTGCCATACAATTACTTCTTTTCATACTAAGTACTATCTGTCTCAATTTCTCGTGTGCAGTTGATGGTGAGTCTGGAAATGAGAACCTCGAAGATGCGGTGATAGCAGCGTGCAGGCGGCGTCGCGCGTTGAGGCCTATGCGGTAAGGCCGCGGTCAGGGTGGATCACATCACGCACCACGGAAGCGCTGAAAAAAAAAACGTAGAGAAAAAACGTCGGGGAACGGCCGCACATGCCGCCGCACTTCCGCGTGCGGAAACTTTGAACACTTTGAACACCAGCTAAATGGTTACCTTTCATAAACGCCCCAAATTGTAAGCGACGCTGAAACAATCATCTGGAGGGATTGCCCTCGCAATTTTTCCTTACCATAATGTTTACAATAGTTTATTCACTATCTTTGTTAAAACTCGAAATTTCTACGTCGCATTGTTTTTACAGAATTCACCTTGATGGCGTTCGGCAACGGTTCATACTTCGTGCTTGTTTCCTGTAAGGAAAATTAATTTGAGGAAAGCTTTCTTGTTCAGGTTCTATAAAATAAATGACTTTATGCTTTAAAATTGCCAGCGTCTGCATAATAGCTAACTATGCACTAGTAAAGTCCAACTTCTCTCTTCGTAGAACCTCGGCATTTGTTGAACCTTATGTAATTTTTATGTCGTCGAGATGTTAGGTGGAACTTTAAACGGGCCGACGTTCCTACCAGATCGCG